GGGGGGGGGGATATGATCTCCATGTATAATACATAAGGGGGGATATGATCTCCATGTATAATACATAAGGGAGATATGATCTCCATGTATAATACATAAGGGGGATATGATCTCCATGTATAATACATAAGGGGGATATGATCTCCATGTATAATACATAAGGGGGGATATGATCTCCATGTATAATACATAAGGGGGGGATATGATCACCATGTATAATACATAAGGGGGGATATGATCTCCATGTATAATACATAAGGGGGGGATATGATCTCCACGTATAATACATAAGGGGGGATATGATCTCCACGTATAATACATAAGGGGGGGGATATGATCTCCATGTATAATACATAAGGGGGGATATGATCTCCATGTATAATACATAAGGGGGATATGATCTCCATGTATAATACATAAGGGGGGATATGATCTCCATGTATAATACATAAGGGGGGATATGATCTCCACGTATAATACATAAGGGGGGATATGATCTCCACGTATAATACATAAGGATGATATGATCTCCACGTATAATACATAAGGGGGGATATGATCTCCACGTATAATACATAAGGGGGGATATGATCTCCATGTATAATACATAAGGGGGGATATGATCTCCATGTATAATACATAAGGGGGGATATGATCTCCATGTATAATACATAAGGGGGGATATGATCTCCATGTATAATACATAAGGGGGGATATGATCTCCATGTATAATACATAAGGGGGAAATGATCTCCACGTATAATACATAAGGGGGATATGATCTCCATGTATAATACATAAGGGGGGATATGATCAACATGTATAATACATAAGGGGGATATGATCTCCATGTATAATACATAAGGGGGGATATGATCACCATGTATAAATACATCAGTGGTTCATATAGTGAACTCAGTGTAGTTATTCACCCGGCGGTCATCACAGAGGACAAGGGGGCACTCTTTATGTCTGGAGGAAAAAGAAATTTAATCTCCAAACAGGGAAAGGTTTTCTTCACAGTAAGAGCTGTGAAAATGTGGAATAGACTCCCTCAAGAGTTAGTTCTGGCCATCTCAGTGGATTGCTTCAAAAAAGTCCTGGATTCTTTCTTAGATACACAGAATATAACTGGATACTAACATTTATAGGTAAAGTTGATCCAGGAAATATCCGATTGCCTCTCGGGAGATCAGGATTATAATATGTAATTTCACCATATTGGTGGTCTCACCATTAGCCGGTCTGACACTGAGAGCACTGCATTGTGGGAGGACAGTGGGATTTTAACCACTTGAGCTCCAGAAAATGTACCCCCCCCCCCCTGACTAGGTCATTTTTTTGTGATACGGCTCTGCATCATTTTAACTGACTATTGCTTGGTCATGCAACGCTGTACACAAATTAAATTTATGTAATTTTCTTCCCACAAATAGAGCTTTCTTTTAGTGGTATTTGGTCACTTTTGCATTTTTTTACGTTTGTGCTATAAACAAAAAAAGACCGATAAAAAAATAACAGTATTTTTAATTTTACACTATAAAATATATTCAATAAACAATTAAACAAAAAAAGTCAAATGTCTTCATAAATTTAGTCCAAAATGTATTCTGCTACATATTTTTGGTAAAATTGGTAAATCCAATAATCATATATTGATTGATTTGCACAAAAGCTATAGCGTCTACAAACTATAGGATATACTGTATACTGGAATTATTTTATACTAGTAATGGCGGCGTTTAGCGACTTATAGCGGGACTGCGATATTGCGGTGGAAAGTCTGACACTAATTGACACTTTGTGGAAGCCAGTGACACTAATACAGTGATCAGTACTAAAAATATACACTGTCATTGTACTAATGACACTGGCTGGGAAGGGGTTTAACATCTAGGGTGATCAAAGGGTTAACTGCGTGCCTAACCAGTGTTTTGTGTGCACAGTGTGGTGAAAACAAATGTATATTGATTGGTATGTTGATTGGTTTGCAAAAAGGTTATAGAGTCTACAAACTATGGGACATATACTGGAATAAAAATGTTTTTTTTTTTATACTACTAATGGTGGCGATCAGGGACTACAATATTGCGGTGGACATTTTGACACTAACCAACACTTTGTGGGAACCAGTGACACTAATACAGTGATCAGTGATAAAAATATATACTTATCACTGTACTAATGGCACTGGTTGGGAAGGGGTTAACATCTAGGGTGATCAAAGGGTTAAGTGTGTGCTTAGCTATGGGCTTGTGTAACAATAGATGGCGATGTTACAAGAGGAAGTGATGGATCCTGTTCCCAGCTCTGCAGGAAAATGCGATCAATCACTTTTCCCTGTCACAACAGAGCTGCGACTATGTAAACATAGGCACAGTTCTGTTCTTCCTCCCTACCCGACAAACATCCGTTCGCCGGAACTTGGAGATCGGCTTCTGCTGTGACAGTTCACAGCAGAAATGATCCGCCAGTGGAGCATGCGTGCCCCTGTGAGGCGGAAGTGCAAAATCACGCATATATATGTGATTTTGCACAGGAGAGCTGCCGTGTAGCAGTAAAACTGCTGTAGGATGGACAGCAAGAGGTTAAACATGGTTCAATGAGGTGAAGAGCAGCATATTAAAGTTGTTTAGTTATTTATCACGTTGACTTATCTACAAAACCACAGTTCAGCTGTAAAATCTTTTTAGGAGAATTCAGCCTCTTCTGACACATAAATACCAAATGGGGAAAAAAATTCTATCAGGGGCCAACAACTCATACATGGCTTAAAGAAGAAGTCTTTGTTTTGATTCTTATTACAGTGTTCTGTCCTGAACAAAGTACATGTAATACTTTGGTTCTCTCTTCCTACACGCTGTGCAAGGCTGACTATGTGTTTGAACAAAATGGCCCTCCATGGCCATCCGACAACACATCTCACAAGAAACTGGCTACAGTGATTGCTGGTTCTTGTTTCTATATCCAAGAACGTATTTGAGACAAGGGACAGTAAGAGGTGAGGACAGCAAGGAGAATGCAGAAGGAGAGAGACATGTCAGACACAATTTCCTATGCATTCCCCATGTCTGCACTAGCCTTGGACAACTTCTTGGATACGGAGTTGTCAAATGGCCGTGGGAGTAAAATCCTGTTTGACCGCAGAGCTATCTTGTATCCATATCCAAGAACTTGTGGGAGACAAGAGATGGTAAGAGAGGTGAAGATGGCAAGGGGAATGCAGAAGGACAGAAACATGTCAGCTACAATTTACTCTCATTTCCCAATGTCCACACTAGTCTTGGACAAGTTCTTGGATACGGAGTTGTCAAATGGCCGTGGGAGTAAAATCTTGTTTGACCACAGAGCTAGCTTGTATCCATATCCAAGAACTTGTGAGACAAGAGATGGTAAGAGGTGAAGATGGCAAGGGGAATGCAGAAGGAGAGAGACATGCAGCCACAATTTCTTCTGCATTGCCCATATCCGCACTAGTCTTGGACATGTTCTTGGATACAGAGTTTTCAAATGGCCGTGGGAGTAAAATCCTGTTTGGTTGCAGAGCTAGCTATCCACATCTAAGAACTTGTGAGACAAGAGATGATAAGAGGTGAGGATGGCAAGGGGAATGCAATATTAGACAGGAATGCCAGCCTCATTTTCTTCTGCATTCTCCTTGCCGGCACAAGTATCCAACAAGTTCTTGGATATGGAGACAAGCACCTGCCATCAAGGCATTTGCTTCCTCATTGTATTTTCAAACGTCCATGAGAGTAGAATCCTGTCTGACAGCAGATCTAACATTCCACAGCACGTAGGAAGATGGGACAAAGTACTATATGTATTTTGTCCCCTGGGGGACAGAACCCTGTAATAGAAAAATAAACTTGACTTGAATTGGCACAGTAGCAGTTTCTTGCACATTAAAAATACATTTGCTAAATCCGTGCCCCGGCCAGCATGGTTAACGTATCTCAAAGTGGGTGGGCCTATGACAACCTAGGGTCAGAGGAAGTGGGCTGAATGACAATGGTAAAAAAAAAACTATTGTTGCGGAAGAAAGTGTCTGATTAAAGGGTGTATCACACAAACATGTATATCACAAACTTATGTTAAATGAAAATTGTTATTAAACTGGTTCTAAATGCAGAAGGTTTTTCACCTTAAAGTGGTTGTAAACATATTTTTTTTTCTTTAAAATAGCAATCAGGTTCATACTTAGCAATGGAATTGCACAGAGCGGCTCTGAACCTCCTTTTCTTTGGTCCCCCGCCGGCGCTCCTGGCTCCTCCTCTCTGTCCATTGCCCCCATAGGAAGCGGCAGCTCACTCCCGGGCCCTGCTGTCTGCATCCATTGACACAGACAGTGGGACTCACCACTGGCTTTGATTGACAACAGCGGGAGCCAATAGCTACAGATGCCCTAGCAAAGCCTGTGAGAAGCAGAATGGAGGGGGCAAAAAGAGCTGCTGACATGCACAGTGCTGGATCGAATGAAGGCTCAGGTAAGTAAATGGGGGGGGGGGGGGTAGGCTTTATAACCACTTTAATGCATTCTCTGCATTAATATAAAAATTGTCTGCATGCAGCTCCCCCCAGCTCACCTTTATACTTACCTGTGCCCAACCTCGGTCTTACGATGTGCAGTAGAGCAGTGGCTCACTCGGCTCTCTCTCTCTTCACTGGCTCAGAGAAAGCAGTGGGAGCCATTGACACCTGCTACAGTCAATCACAGCCAGTGAAGAGGGGGGGGGGGGAGAGGCAGGTCCGAGCAGCTTGCTAGGTGGGGACCTGAAAATGCTTCCAGCTATTGACACAGAATAAGTATGCAGAGAAGTAAAAATGGTGTAAAAATGGTCATAGCAGCCCATGTGACAGCTATGCGGCCTGCTCCTCTCCTCACTGGCTATGATTGATAGCAGTGGGAGTCAATGGCTCCTGCTGCTGTCTCTGAGCCAATGAGGAAAGAGACAGACCCGTTAGAGCCTCTGCTCCCCTGCACATCACTGGATTGAGGTCATGTAAATACAAGGGAGGGGGGGATCTGCATGCAGGAGGTTTTTTAACTTTCTGCATAAAATGCATGAAGGTAAAAAACCTCCTGCCTCTACAACCACTTTAAATCTCACAATACAGCTATACAACTTTGAGGCTGTGGGCACCAGAGAGCCTATAGGTACAAATACTAGGAAGTGCACTTTTTTTCAGGAGAAATTCCAGAAAACAGATATATTTTCAGGAAAATGCTTAGACGAAATTATTAATTTTTTTCGTTTTTTACCATTTTGAGTTCAGCTCCACGTGTTTTCATTTTTATTCTAACAAGCTTACGGAAGCAGAGAGACCAAATTAATTGAAGCCTCTCCTTGCGTCCACGACTCGTGGAGATCAGCTCATGACAGAGCAGCAAGTTATAATTTCGTTGGCCCCGGTGCCCAGCAGGTCTAATGGAGCTCTTTCACTTACAATCGATTACGATGTTGAGCCCAACATAAAAGCCCGTCGCTAAGCGCGGTTTAATGTATCCCACTCTCGCCTTTGTTTTGTAGAACTTTCCACATTTTAAACTGTCAGTAAGCTTTTTATTTTTAGAACGGCATACATAATTGGCACTTAATAATAAAAAGAAGAAAAAGAAATGGTTTGATGTCCTGGATACGGTAAGGTATCTATAGCAACACGGCAATGTATGTGCCACTTTGAGTTGCAAGGATCGCAGAGGCAAATTTTGCCACCTGGTTTAGGCTGCTGAAAAATACATCACCTGTTGGATGAGGAAAAAGCTTCCAGGGCTTGTTATAGATAGCCTAATGTTATAGAGCCAGTTATTCCAAACCGAATACAGCTGTTCTAGTAGGGCCGGATCTAGGGGGATTTAAGCTGTGCCCCTCCCAGGTCTCTGAGTGTGCATCCACTAATCCATGAGCCAATCTGATGCAGACAGTTGATGTAAGGAGGCACTTTGATGGTAACAATCCATGTAAGGGGGAACTCTGATTTGGATACCTGATGTAAGGGGGCACTCTGATGGGGGATGGTGACACCTGATGTAAGGAGGCACTCTGATGGGGGATGGGGACACCTGATGTAAGGGGGCATTCTAATGGGGCCACCTGATGTAAAGGGGAACTCTGATAGGGACACCTGATGTAAGGGGGCACAATGATAGGGATAACTGATGTAAGGGGGCACTCTGATAGGGACACCTGATGTAAGGGGGCACTCTGATAGGGACACCTGATGTAAGGGGGCACTGTGATAGGGACACCTGATGTAAGGGGGCACTCTGAAAGGGACACCTGATGTAAGGGGGGGCACTGTGATAGGGACACCTGATGTAAGGGGGCACTGTGATAGGGACACCTGATGTATGGGGGCACTGTGATAGGGACACCTGATGTAAGGGGGCACTGTGATAGGGACACCTGATGTAAGGGGGCACTGTGATAGGGACACCTGATGTAAGGGGGCACTGTGATAGGGACACCTGATGTAAGCGGGCACTGTGATAGGGACACCTGATGTAAGGGGGCACTGTGATAGGGACACCTGATGTAAGGGGGCACTCTGATAGGGACACCTGATGTAAGGGGGCACTCTGATGGGTCCACCTGATGTAAGGGGGCACTCTTGATAGGGACACCTGATGTAAGGGGGCACAATGATAGGGACACCTGATGTAAGGGGGCACTCTGATGGGGGATGGGGACACCTGATGTAAGGGAGCACTCTGATAGGGACACCTGATGTAAGGGGGCACTGTGATAGGGACACCTGATGTAAAGGGGCACTCTGATGGGGACACCTGATTTAAGGGGGTATTCTAATGGGACCACCTGATGTAAAGGGGCACGCTTGATAGGGACACCTGATGTAAGGGGGGGCACAATGATAGGGACACCTGATGTAAGGGGGCACTCTGATGGGGGATGGGGACACCTGATGTAAGGGAGCACTCTGATAGGGACACCTGATGTAAGGGGAAACTCTAATAAGGACACCTGATGTAAGGGGGCACTCTGATAGGGACACCTGATGTAAGGGGGCACTGTGATAGGGACACCTGATGTAAGGGGGCACTCTGATAGGGACACCTGATGTAAGGGGGCACTCTGATAGGGACACCTGATGTAAGGGGGCACTCTGATAGGGACACCCGATGTAAGGGGGCACTCTGATAGGGACACCTGATGTAAGAAGGCACTTTGATGGTAACATTCCATGTAAGGGGGAACTCTGATTTGGACACCTGATGTAAAGGGGCACTCTGATGGGGACACCTGATGTAAGGGGGCATTCTAATGGGGCCACCTGATGTAAGGGGGCACTCTTGATAGGGACACCTGATGTAAGGGGGCACAATGATAGGGACACCTGATGTAAGGGGGCACTCTGATGGAGGATGGGGACACCTGATGTAAGGGAGCACTCTGATAGGGACACCTGATGTCAGAGTGGATTTTATTTAAATCAAGTTGACTTAAATCATGATTTAAATCTCTAGTGAAAATGCTCAATGTTAATTATAATTTTTAGTTTCCTGTCCCGCAGCGGCTCCTCTGACCCGCTGTTGACTCACTGACAGTCCCATTCACTTCAATGGGACGGCTGGTGATGCGGCAGTGACACAACAAGGCGAGGGACGTGGCGGCAGCAGGTGAGTGGATGCCCGCTAACAGGCGCTGCCATGACAGATCTAAAATGACAGGTGCTCTTTAAATGTAAGGAATCCGACTCATTCTTGCTGGTAGTTAGAAACTTTACTATTTGCAAACCAAATGAAGATTTCCTTTTCAGAATAATAAGCTGTCAGGCTCATAAAACAGCGATATCAGAAGCGATTTTAGGTTAATAGGTTAATCACACATAGCTGGAGAACGACTCAAATTCCTTTTTTCATGTTTTTTCTCATGGATACTGTGAAATTGTGTGAATGCATCAATGCAGTGCATGTTGTCTCAGCTTGCAGAGCTTGGATTCATTGAATGAGTTTACCAAAAATGTAAATATTGTAGAATATACAGCCTCATGCTACATAACTAAGCTCCATTTCATGCTGAATAAACTAAATTCTTAATGTATCTTAAATTGAAACTATCTTTAGATTGATTTTTACTCCAAAAGCATTTTTATTAAAATAAATTTGATGAAAATAAAAAAAAATCTGATTTAAATAAAAAAAAATCAGATTTTTTATTTTTTTTTTTTTTAAATCATTTTTATCCACCCTGCCTGATGTGTGGGGGCTATCTGATAGGGACCCTGATGTAAGGGTGACTCTGATGGAAACCTGCTGAGGACTCCTGATATAAAGGGGGACTCTGATAGGGCTGTCTGATATAAAGGGGGGCACAGGTTCTTTTTAATCACCCTAATCTAAAACAGCCCAATACATACTAGTGTTTCCCAAGTGGCACACATGGTGTTGACATTATCTTTTTTACTGCACCCCCTGATCAGATATAGATCTAGATCCGGCTCTGTGTTTCAGGCTTTTTGGCCATCACCACTGCAGTGTATAGAATCGGTTTAGACTCAATGTCGATCAAACTGAGTTGATAAGCCAGGACGGAATATTATTGATCGTTTTGGATTGCTCAGGAGCACTGAGATACTTTGTTCATGAATGTGATCATATTTTGAGCAATCAGACTATGATATTACAAGGATGCGATAGATAATTTACGATCACATTTTGACTAACAATGAAAATCTATATCCCTGTGTGGGGTATATCGATCGAATTTAAATATGTTGCAAACCCTTTTGCCCTAACAGCCTCGGTGTCCTCCCTTCTATTCACGGTTAATCCTCCTAAAGCTGGGAACACAGTGGCCTACCATCTAGACCAGGGGTCTCCAAATTATGGCCCTCCAGGTGTTGAGGAACTGCCAGTTCCATGAGGCCTTGCAAGACTCTGACAGCCACAGGCAGGACTCCCAGAGGCAGAGGCATGATGGGATTTGTAGTACTTTAACAGCTGGAGGGCCATAGTTTGGAGACCCCTGATCTAGACAAATGAGATTCTGCTTCTGGGTAGTATGTCATTGCATCCTGCCCTAAGTGTTAAGTCACAGGGACTTCCCCAGGAGCATTAGCTATGACTAGTCTGATGCTGGCATTGCTTTTATTTTTTGCTCTGTAATAAATTTTAAGCATTTTATACCATTTGCAATCTCACCTTTCTCTGAGTCATGGTGGAGACAATTGGGATGTGGACGTCCCCAACCATGTTATCATGATATGGACCTTACAGCTCATATGGCTTGTCTGATTAATGAAAACTGTACCGAAAGTAATGCAAAAGTGAGCATAACTTTTTTTATTACCTTAGATTCTGAACTCTCCTTTCGGCCCCATATCCAATCACTTTCCAAATCTTACCATCTCAACCTCCGCAACATCTCCAAAATACACCCCTTCCTAACCAATGACACTGTGAAGCTCCTAGTTCACTTCCAAGTCATCTCTTGCCTTGACTACTGCAACTCCCTTCTCATTGGTTTACCTTTACATAGGCTATCCCCCCTCCAGTCCATCATGAATGCTGTTGCCAGAGTCATCCACCTTATCAACCGTTCAGTGTCTGCCACCCCTCTCTGCCAATCCCTTTGTTGGCTGCCAGTCACCTAACAAATCACATTCAAAATACTAGCAACAACTGGCAAAGTCATCCACAACTCGGCCCTCATCTACATCAATAATCTAGTCTCAAAATACCAACCAAATCGCCCTCTTCGTTCAAAAAAAGAAATCAAAATGTGTACAGTATGGCTACCATTAGACCCAATTTAGATCAGATTCAATCTGTCAGAGTGAGAAATTATTGATCATTTTGCTTCAATCAGCAGGATTGGTCATGAATCCGGTCGTATTTTGACTGATAAGATTATGAGATTATATGGTGGAAACAGAGATGTGATCAACAATTTATGATCATATCTTTCAACAATTGATCGAAATCCACTTCCACACGTGCGGCATATCGATTGATGAAATATTCCTATTGGGAGAGATCAATCAAAGAGGCGTTTACGGCCACCATTACACTGAATGACCTTCTTATAGTGACTGCCAGTGTGCTGGAACTGCTTGCTTAGATCTGTTACACTACGCCGCAGTTCTGGTAATTGTGCTGGAATTATTCCCACTGAACAACTCTGTGTAACCTGCGAACCTCTTGCTGTCTATTTCAGTAAAATCAACTTCCGTTCTATGGCTTTCACTCTCTACACTATACAAGGAAGAGTCAGACGGATACAATTCTCAGTCAGCGACAAATTATTTCACATACTATACAAAAAGAAATGTTCACCGTTTGTCTCTCCTGGTGACATGCACTTGCCTAACCAATTAATATTATATCAGGATCTTGTTCTCATTTTAATTACATAGCTGACTAACCTTCCCAGGAGGTTCCCCGATCACTCCTGCAAATTAAACTGGAATATTAGGCATAGAAGGTTTAGGAAATTTATAGGGTACTCTGGATAAACCTGCGGCGCTGGGTACCCTTTAATCACGCTGAATCCCTCATTAACCCCTTGTACGTTTATAAATCTCCTGGTAGGCAAGGGTGAATGAAAGGATTGCTGCTCTCCAAATCAGCCCTTGTAAACGGAACATAAGAAGGGGACTCCGCCTACATGTCTCCACCAAGACCATGCCCCTTTGGTGCATTTCACCCATCCCACCAGGGTTTAGTCATAGGGTTGGGGGACCCTATGACCATGCCCCAGTGTGAGGGGCGAAACGTATTAGTGAGGCTGAGTCATGGTGTAGACAATTGGGATCTGGAAGTCCCCAACCATGTTATCATGATATGGACCTTACAGCTCATATGCCTTGTCTGATTAATGAATAATTAGCTTCTGTTTACATGGACTAATCAGGAGAGTAGTATCCTTTCATTCATACTAGTTATTCTTCTGGAGCAGTACGGGGACATGCTGGCACCCTCTTAGTGGATCCAAGAAATCCAGGACTTCGGTTCGGTGCCACCACAATTCTTGCTTATCAGGTCAAACTGGTGATCTAGGGGTTAAAGTGGCTGTAAACCCTTACATATATCCAATGAAGTGACTGGTCTCAGGTGATGAAGCAAATATCTACATAAGTTGGACCTGTTTATCTTCAGCTCTCTCTTCTCTACAGCTTCCTAAAGCAAATATTTTACACATAATTTCCGAGTGCTAGAAGGCAGTGTGCGGGGTCTGATGTCACACACTGCAGAGCACAGATCTGAGTGTAATCTGAGACCTAAGTGGAGGGAAAGGACACACCCTCCGTACAAAGTCTCATAGATTCTGTGGTGTCAGCACAGACTGTACAAATGGTTCTTGCAGTTAGCAGGAGGAAAGAGCAGACAGAAATCATACTAGGTACTTTGGGTTGAGGCATTTACACACTATAGAGGGATGTGCCACCAACTTTATGGGTAGGTTCACTGTAGGCATGTGCAGTCTCCACTGTAGGTGGTGATTGTCCGGAGCAGTACTGCAGCTGGAGAGGATATGAAGGGAAAATTGGTTTCTCTCTGCTCACCTTGGTCCCCTGGAGCAGCGTTCTGTTTGGCTTTGTTGCATTCAGGTGACCTTGGTGAACATCTTGGGTCACGCAGAGTCTTTTTAAGTCCCTGTCCCTAGGTTTTGCAAAGTGACTAGCTTAAGGAGAGCATGCCTATCTGTCCTGGGACAGCACTAGTGGCAGAGTGGTTCCAGAGGAGTAGGGAAAGCTCAGGGCCTACATATGCATTTCAGCAAGCTCCCTTTTGGACCAGACCAAATTTCATCCTTCTTGGCAAGTGCTGTCTTCAGTTCGGGCCTAGTACCGCTGACTCTCCACTGCATTGACTGTAGGTTCCCAGTTAGGTCAGCTCCCCGCTGGGCTGTGTTACCGTTTGCAAGTTGTGTACATATGCTCTAACATAGAGCATACATCAGTTACTGCACTCGAGGCCTCTATGTGTTTACTGCCATTGCACCCGCGCTGCGCCTACCCAACATTCACACTGTTAACAGAGAAAGGCACTGTTTCCAGTTTTCTCTTTGTCTTTCTAAACTGAAGTCAAATGTCACACAGTGACATGATTAAAAGCACAGGGTTCTTCTGGAGCGGTACATGGACATGCTGGCACCCTCTAAGTGCATCCACAAAATCCAGGACTTCAGTTTGAGTTCCACCACAATCCTTGCTTATCAGGTCAAACTGGTATTCAAGGGGTTAAAGTGCCTGCAAACCCTTACATATACCCAGTGAAGTGACTGGTCTCAGGTGATGAAGCAAATATCTACATAAGTTGGACCTGTTTATCTTCAGCCCTCTCTTCTCTACAGCCTCCTAAAGCAAATATTTTACTTCGGTTTGAGTGGCACCACAATCCTTGCTTATCGGGTCAAACTGGTATTCAAGGGAGATCTGCAGAACGGTGCAAATAAAAATGCAGACATGTTGCATCGCTCTGCCCCACAGCTGCAAGGAAGTGTGAATGAAGAACTGCATTTTTCTTATGCAGAAAAAATGAAACTTTCCACTGGTGTGAACCGGCCCTAAATCAAGGGGTTTATTCAAGCCCAATCTGTAACTGATTAGCTGCAGTGGGGGGCAGGGTAAACATTGAGGATTTAAAAGAATTATGGCACTAGAATTATTGCATTCAGTCCGGTGTGTGTGCAGCACAGATTGCGCTGGATTAGCTTCTTCCCCGGCCTCTGTTGCTGGGGAATGTTAGCTCTGAAAATGGAAGTTATGAGAGCCCATTACTATGAGTTCATTCAATCTAGAGGAGATTAGTGAATGGATGTTCCCTCCACTTTCCTTCTGCCCCGGCCATCCTAGGCACCCAGGAAGGACAAGTGACCTCAGGATACATGGTGGGGAAGGGGGCTCTCCTGAAAGTGATCAACAAGGAAGCCGACAGTTGGCTGAGAATATGTATACATGCCTGCCCTGATGTCAACATATGACATATGCTGGTATCAGTGAAAGGGTTAAAGCCTGACTCCGGGCAAATAAAAAAGGATTCCTTCCAGAGGGGCTGTTCCTACAATTCAAGGGTTAATTGCACATTTACGTCTACGGGATCAATACAAGGAAATATACTTACCTGATCCTCCACTCCTTCTTGCAGCTAGACTGGTTCCTGCAGCTTCTGCAACCCTGCGCGCAATAGCAGTTTAGGGTCCTGATGTCATCAAGACAAGAGCAGAGTCCATATCCCTGCTCTGGACATGAGGACACTGAAGGCCAGTCCACCACCAAGGCGTGTTTGGAGTGACTGACTGCTGAGGAGCAGAGGATCTGGTAAGTAAAAGTGTGTTTCTCCTCTCCCCTGGACAAAATAATGACGACAAAATAAAAGAAAATCACCTATTTTAAGTAGTTAACAGAATCTTCCAATGGGGATTTTAGTTCTGGTGACAACCAGGAATTCTCTCACTTTGGAGGGATTTCCGCTTACTTCCTATTTTGGCCATGGGACAGGAAGTGAAGGGAAATATCCCCAATGGGACACAGATGTAAAACAAAATAAAGAAAACACTGACAGTGCTCATAACCCTCCCGTACTCTAGCCACAATGAAAAAATAAACAATTAGCCTTCAGTTCTATTTCTCCACACTAATACCAAGATTAATACAAATTAGCCAGCAATGAGGTCAGACCTCAATCCCATAGAGATCCTGTGGAGAGATCTCAAAAGAGCAGTGGGGAAAAGGAACCCTTCCAATCTGAAAGAGATGGAGCAGTTGGTGAAGGAAGAGCACTCCAAAATTCCAGTAGAGAGGTGGAAGAAACTCATTGATGGTTACAGGAAGCCATTGATTTCAGTTATTTCCTTAAGGGGTGTGCTACCAAATATTAGATTGAGGGTGCCAAAAAATTTGTAAAGTACATTTTTGGGGGGTTTTTGTGGAATGTGCCAGATTTGGCTTTTTTTTTTTCTCCACTTTTTTGTGTCATACCAATACAAACAAAAGAAATAAACATGAGAACGTCTAAATATTTTTAATGG